ACGGACAGGACTGGAGAACGAGCTCTGTGCAGAAGCCAATCTAGGCTGTTCTGGTGAAAGGAGGCTCAGGTTGGCCTTGCTCCTCGTGTAGCGCAACGGTCAACACGCGCAGCTGAAATTCCAGCTGAAGAGGGTAGGAATTCCAGCTGTGAAACATGGCAGGGAACATCCACCCATTTTCCGACATCCCGGGCAGGATCACGGGTCGTCCCGTTGTTCTCACACGGAACGAGTTGTTCAAGAAGTTACAGCAGCAAACAGTTATTCAGTACAGCAGATCTGACAGCCTGCTGCTGCAGGAACTCTTCCCGATCGGATTCTGGGAACAAATCCCCATAGTCCTGTCTCTCCGTTTCCCTGCATGTCATCCCCCTCTAGCTGGACTAAAGGAACGCACCCCCACCGACACACACACACTCACCAGATGGAGTGACTGTGACAGAAGTCCAGGGCGGAGATTATCTGTCGGAAGAACTTCCTGGCTTCCTTGGGAGTGAGCCGGCCCTTTTTCACCAGGTAGTCAAACAGCTCTCCCCCAGACACATGCTCCAGAACCAGGTACCTGAATTAGACAGGCAGTCCATCAACACTGAGAGAGAGGGGTGAATACTGACACACTGCAGACTGGACTGCAGAGGGGGATTCGCGAGATGTTGGAATAAATGAATGGCATCCCTTCTGCTGTGAACTGTGATCATCATTAGAAAGTTTTGGAATGAAACATCAGTTACAACTGTAGCAAACCACAACCCAGCTTTCAAGCAATGACCCTTGTGAGGTGACGTGCAGGGATGAGCAGAAGTAGCAGGACTCTGTGCCCCTTGAGGAACTTACAGATACTTGTTGTTTTCATAAACATCATGCAGCTTCAGCACGTGAGGATGTTCAATCAGCTTCAGAATAGCAATCTCTCTCTCCACCTGCACAGCGACAGAGACCAGGAGAAGTCATCTAGAGCACAGGGACTCAATGAACTGTCCACGCAGACTGTTAAAATGGACTATCAGTCCAAATGGACTGTCAGTGTCTGATCTCTAGAGCTCTGGGACTGGGCCGTGTCAGTAAACTCCACACACAC